TAGGGAAAGCCGGAAGGGACTAATCAGTCTAACAAAATACGATCTTTTTCTTGCAACAATATAAAAAATGCTCTCTTGAATGAACAATCCCTTGCTTTGTTTGGAAGAAATTGCATGCATGATATACAGGAGGAGCACTCATTGCACACTCCTGAGTTTTTCTTTCTTCACCACCGTAAGTAGCAGGAGTAATTTATTGCCTATCTTAGAGAGCGAGTAGCTAGCTTGAAACTAATTAACTAGTTGGGGTGATACAAGCAAAGGAATTATAACCAATGAATCTAAGGGCATTAGGAATTTCCCATCTTTTGCTCTGAATCTGTTCTGTCTTGTAATTTAATCAACGCCCTTGTAGATTTCAAAACATCCCCGTGTTACTGCCCAAACCATGAAATAAGCTATAGGGGTAAGATTCAGAAAGTATAAACTATGAGGGCGGAAGTGAAACATTGATGAATGTAAAGGATAGTTTACAGAAATAACAAGGCTGGTAAAGGTGACGGTACTGGAGCAGCGCTTTTAAGCAACCAAGCTGTATTCTTTACGTTTGCGAAGAGGGGAGAGACAGAGCGTCGACCCAACATTATTTAACAAAAACAAAAACAAAAAGAAAAAGAAAAAGAAAAAGAAAAAGAAAAAGAGGTATGCATGTAAAGAAAAGAGAGTTCGAGAGAGGAAGAGATTCCTTTGGTTTGCGCAGAGGAGGGAGAGGAAGAGAGGAGTATAAATTTTGGTTTGTTTTTTACTTTGGGAGAGACGAGCTTTTGCTTTCTTTCTCTGTTTTCTCTCTCTTTCTTTCTCCATTCACACTCACTTTATTATTAAGTTGTTTGGCCTCCTAGGGGAATGGGTCTTTATTAACCTACATACTTACTTTTTAGTTGTTGTACTCCGCTATCAGAAGAGTTTAGAATTGCCATGTTCTTCACTGCAATTCTTCCCACCTTTTCTTTCCGCAACCTGGTCTCACTGCTTTAACCTGTTCTCTTTTACTAATCAGTACCAGTACCATTTCACTGCTTTAATCCTTTTTTTTCTGCGTTCTTTTTGGGAGTTGTGACATTGGGCTTCGGTAGTTTGTTATTTCTTTTGGGATTTTGTACTTTTTTCTTAGAGGGATTTGGGTTTTTTTTGTAAAGATTTGGGTTATTTAGAGGGTGCACGGAGGTCGTCCGTCAAATTTCTTTGTCAGAGAAAGCAGAAGGAACAGCAAAGAGAGAAAGGATATGGCGGGAGGCGGAGGAGCCGCACCACCACCAAAACAGGAAGAGCTGCAGCCACATCCTGCTAAGGATCAGCTTCCAAATATTTCTTACTGCATTACCAGCCCTCCTCCTTGGCGTCGGTTTCTCTTTTCTTTCTTTATCTTCACTTATACTATATATATATATATATAAATTGAACTATGAGGATCATTACCACTACTACTGTTTTTAATTTTATACTAGATTAGTAACCCAATGTTATGCATTTCATCACCCCGTTTGATGTTCTTTTTTACCTTCCCCTTGTTTTTCTAGTTACCACCTTTTTTTCTGTGCTATTCCTGTCTACATCTCCCCTGTTTTTCTGTTCCCATTTTTGGTTTATTTGGTCGCTGTTCTTCTTTCCTTTTCTGTCTGTTTTTTTAATCCTTTCATAGTGATTCCTGACCCGTTTATAGTGTTCTGGGTGCAAAATCAGTTAATTTTAAAATTTTGGTTATGTGGGATTTCTGATTTTCTTTTGCTTGTATTGGCATTTGTTGCAGTTGCTATGAATTTGATAGAGTCCATCTGCATGTTTATTTTGTTTTATAATCGATCGTTCATTTGTTTATTGATTTGATGATATTTGGGGTTGTTTCAAAAAATGCAGCTGAGGCAATTCTACTTGGCTTCCAACACTACTTGGTGATGCTTGGGACAACAGTGTTTATACCCACTGCTCTTGTTCCTCAGATGGGGGGAAGAAATGTAAGTGATTCTGCTCTTTGATGCTTCTTGTTTCTATGATGTATCTGCTTCTAAATTTATGTGAATTCTGACTGTTTTCAGGAGGAAAAAGCGAAGATGATTCAAACATTGCTATTTGTGGCTGGATTAAATACATTTTTCCAAACATTTTTTGGTACTCGCCTGCCTGCAGTTATTGGAGGTTCCTTTAGCTATTTGCCTGCTACCATTTCAATCGTTTTGGCTGGTCGATATAATGAAATTTTGGATCCTGTCGAGGTGGCCTTTGGATCTCCCCCTTACGTAGATACGGCCTTACTAAACTTCGTGCATGTATGTTTCTTAATTGTTCAACGATCCTTTGTGTTGCAGAGATTTGAAAAGACAATGCGTGGAATTCAAGGTGCGCTCATTGTTGCCTCAACTCTCCAGATTGTCGTGGGCTTCAGTGGCCTTTGGAGAAATGTTGCAAGGTTTAATAAATCCTGGTTAATTGATTAAAAGCATTACCAGTTTGTCGCAGTGTTCTTATTAACTTCTCTAATTCACTCTGTTTGATAGGTCTCCTCTCTCATCTAGTTATGACTTTTTTTTTTCTTAATTTAGTTTTGGAATTGAAATGACTTTGGCATGATACTTGATTTGCATATAATTACCAGATTGTATAATTGGGAACGTCAGTGAATTTTTAGTTATACTGAAGATTAATCAATTGATGTTTTATGTCTCTCTGATACTTGGCCAGGTCCGTGATTAATGTTTGTCTCTCTGATACTTGGCCAGGCTCTTGAGTCCATTATCTGCCGTTCCTTTGGTTGCTCTATCTGGATTCGGCCTCTATGAATTTGGTTTCCCTCTAGTATGTATCTAAGCTCCTTTACTCCTCCTTTTGTCTTGTTTAAAACTGCATCTTCTATTAGTGTTCATTAATGGCTTCGGCTTTGGGATTTCTAGGTTGCAAAATGTGTGGAGATTGGACTGCCACAGATCATCTTTCTTTTAATTTTCTCGCAGGTATTAAACCTCTATGTAGTGCACATTTATGTCCCTCTCATTTTAACTGCATCAGAGGACTTCAATGAGAACATCAATTATTGGACTTCTTTTTATGGAAGTTTAGTATAGTTGAGTAAATAAACTTTGACCACTTTTGCAGTACATACCCCATTGGATACGAGGGGAGAGGGCTGTGTTTAATCGGTTTGCTGTTATATTCTCTGTGGTCATTGTGTGGGTTTATGCTCACCTCCTTACTGTAAGTGGGGCATATAAGAATACAGCACACCAAACCCAAACAAGCTGCCGAACTGACCGTGCAGGAATTATAGGTGCTGCTCCCTGGTAAGGTTCTTACTGAATCTCTATTTAACTTGAACTTACTGTGATATAACATCATTGTTAACCATAAGGATGAGTAACAAAGGTTTTTCCTTGAAGCGGCTAATTACTGTGTTATATTGTAATATAAAGGATATTTCTTACAAGTCACAGCTCTATTTATTGGCTGAAGTTCATGGTGATATGATACTAGTATAGGAATAAAAGGTCAAAATGAAGTGTATTTTTTGTGCTCACTGATCCTAGTTGTTTGTATAATGGTGTTTTGTGCAGGATAAGAGTTCCATACCCCTTCCAATGGGGAGCTCCTACTTTTGATGCTGGAGAGGCTTTTGCAATGATGGCTACTTCATTTGTTGCACTAGTAGAGGTTTGGTTACTTCTAGCTGTGACTCTGAGATGCATTAATAAATGTGAATTGGTGCTTACTACATTTGGTGGCTCGTATTTCTTTCATTACTTCAGCTCATAGTTGTGGAATTGAACCTAACAACTTATAAAGCAGACAATTTCTCTTTAATTTAATAATTAAATCGCCTCAAATCAGTGTTTTTTTCCTTTCTTCTGTGTTAAAATTCTTTGAATCACCTTTTGTCTGCCTTTTGTTGAACACTAAGAAAAAACTTCTCCTTTTTAATGCTTCGCAACTCAAGTTTTTTACTGCATGAAATGTTTATCATTGACTGACACCATGGTAGGACTTGGCAGCTTATCTTGATTCACGATCTCTGAAATTTACTTGCTTACAATTCACTTTCTGTGGCAAAACAGTCCACTGGTGCCTTCATTGCTGTATCTAGGTATGCAAGTGCAACTCCACTTCCACCTTCTATACTTAGCCGTGGTGTTGGTTGGCAGGTATAGCTTTTATGTTTTGCACTAATCTTTGCAGTTTACTCATTTTTCAAGCACACAGAAAATTTAGAGGGTATGATTCTCTTTGAATTGAATTTCTATGGAATGGCCAGGCTCAAATCTCACCTCTCTTTTTACCTTTTGAATCTAAAAATGATGGGATCTTACAGAATTTTTCGTGGCTGAAGCTGCACAATTTTTATAACTGCAATGTGATTGGTTGGCTGAGTGATTTTCGGAACTGTTTTAACCCTTTTTTAATAACCTCTTTCATATTGATCCCAGGGAGTCGGAATTCTCTTTTCAGGCATATTTGGAACTGGGAGTGGATCATCAGTATCTGTGTAAGATTCATATGTAGAATCCTCCTTTTCTTTGAACTGAAAAGGCATTTTAATCTCCCACCAAACTTGGTCCTTTTTTACCTCTCCCTTATGTTGGCATTAGAAACTTTCTTCCTCAACTGCAGTGAAAATGCTGGATTGTTGGCACTGACACGTGTTGGCAGTCGAAGGGTTGTTCAAATATCAGCAGGGTTCATGATTTTCTTTTCCATTCTTGGTGAGTGAAACATGTAACTCTCTCTCTTTCGGTTAAAAGTACGAAATCGCTTACATGCTTTTCTATGCAGGAAAATTTGGAGCTGTTTTTGCTTCAATTCCATCTCCAATTATTGCAGCTTTATATTGCCTTTTCTTTGCATACGTTGGTATGTCTTATCAAATCATGTGAGCTTTTACCATATGCGATTTAGCTCAAGTCCAAGCAACTCATTGTTCTTTCATTACATAAACAGGTTCAGCA